ACCAGTAACGATTTCAACAACAAAACCACCTAAAGTAGTCACCACTGGCCCAATTACGACCTCTACTTTGACCACAGGAACAACAGGCACTGCTACGACTTCTATTGGCCCAATAACAGAGACACTTCCAGGCAGCACAACTGTTTACACAACTGGTGTAACCACTACCGGACCAGTCAGAACCACAGTTGTTCCCACAGTTTCACTGTTTACCACAACTTCAACCGTATGCGTCTGTACTGTTAATCAAACTTCACATCGTCCTGGTAGGTGATTCTCCATTTTCGGTTTGTTTCTTTTACTATGTGTTCAGCTTTATTTGAATCTTTAAGCATTATACAGTATACATATGTATGTATACAGTAGTATATTTAGTAAGTGTATCCCTTTACAATACAAAAAAGGGTACCAAGAATTCTCTTTTGGTTTGTCAGTGTTTCAGTGGTTTTGGTTATCACAAAAATATTAGTCTTGTCTTTTTTCTCCTCTGTACATTGATTGGTCAGTCCTTAATGTCTTTGGTCTATTAATTTTCTCTAAAAAGGAATTCACCAACAATATTTATAAAGGGGATAGAAATTTACCAGACTTGACTTAGTTTGCTTACATAAGCTAGGAGATGGCTTTACATACCAAATGATCCTGGTTGAGCTTGTCAGGTTAATTCAATGTAGACTTTTTGACAATAAGCCCTGCACACAGGGTTATTTTCTATGTATGAACACACCAAGTCTCTCTCTTGTTAAATACATTTGTTATTGAATTAGTAATCCTTTAATTTTGTGCACTAAACATCTGTCTCCACTCTGATTTTTACAGGGGATATGGTGTACAATGTCACTGATGGTTTAGGGTGGTGTTACGTTGCATATTGCAATGCATCTTGTAAAGTTGAGGTACACTCTAGTTCATGTCCCACAACACCGATACCCAGCACAACAGCAAGTTCTACCACTGCAGTGCTCAGCACCACTACAAAGCCTACAGTTTCAACCTCAGTTCCTCCTATCACACCTACTTCTACATCTACTTCCACTCCATCAACAACCCCAACTCCGGACTGCAGTGATGTGAATCCACCAAGGAAGGTTTGATATAAATCTTTTTTCATGATTGTGTTTCCTTTAAGCATTCTATTTGACAAGTAGCTGTTTTGTGTCCCATAGCTGTGGAGAGTTTCTGTCTCTTTAGACTCTATGGGCCCTATTTTGGTGTAGGAACACAGCTCTGCACCCGTGAACTGGCATTTTCTTGAGAGGGTGCTGCAATGCCAAACCAGTGGCATACTGCAATCTTGGTTCAAAAACTTATCAAACTTATCATTATGATTAATTATTCTGTACAGTTTTTAATTCAAAACCCTCTGCTGGTGTCTCTATCCAAAACACAAATATCATCATCTCATCTGTTCTTGGCAGTATATTTGAGCTGCAGTATTCTTATTTGAAACTCTGACAATGCAAACTGTCAACATGCAACATCATCTGTTTTTAAAGGGGATCAAAGTAGAGAATGTGATGGCCATGATTGTCACAGCCTTTAACACGCCCACCTGTAATATAAAATAATGTATTATTTCTAGTCCTGTCCTGTATCCAAGTGCACCACAGCCTGGCCACAAAATTACCAAATGTGTAATAGAGCCCGGCATTTCAAAAATCTGTTGAATTATACTGTATTGTTTCACACACCTTTGTTTCTGTATGACTTATTGCTTCTCGACCCCCATCCAGAATGGAGAGTCCTGGAAGACGGACAACTGCACCACTGCAACTTGCATCAATGGCACTGTCACGATATCAACTTGTCCCCCAGTACAGCAACCCATCTGTGCCAATGGACGCCAAGTTGTCGAGGTCTACGATGATGACGGATGCTGCCCTCACTATGACTGTCAATGTAAGTTGAAAATTTAACCTTTGAACACAGTTTTTTACTATTGATTTTTATATGCAGCAGATCTTGTCAGTGTGTGAAAATGTGCATTGTGGTTTTCATTTCAGCAGTGGATTTACTAAGGCATAATATTGTAATCTTTAGTCATATCTAATTATTACACTTTAGGAGGCAGGTACTTATACACAGGTACACAGGTACTTAAATATTTTGTGAGTTTTGTGATTGGCCCAACAGTTCGTCACTGATGTCTATTTATGTGCTGAGCCACGCCCCCTGAAGTGTATTGGTCAATATGTTTTTAAACAAATAATCAACAGGCTCATTGCAACTTTTTATAAGTTTTATCTAATGATGACACACATAAGATTTGGTAGCATGTCAAGATGTCAAAAATTAGTTTCTCAAAAATTAGTTTTTCAAAAGGAATATCAGACTTTAGTGATCCAAGAGCCTTTTTTATAGAGCATTGAACTGGACTTGTGTGTCTAACAAGACTTGCAGGGCTTGAACCCTTAATTACAGGAAAATAGAGTAAAATATTATTAAATATAAGCACATGGTCACATGGTGGTACTAATGAATCCCAATACACATCAAAAGTTACTAATTTAGTTATTGAGGCATCCCCTGACTATCCACTAAATTACGTCAAAATTGCTTCAACAAGCAACTAAGCTCATACAGCTATTCTGTAGTAGATACTAACTGCTAATAAACAAACATAGCCTTCTTGGTGGAAGTTCAAATTTTTCTATTTGTTCCAGTTCTCACTTGTGTCCATACATGGTTCTTCTAATCCCACAGGTGTGTGCAGTGGAATCGGTGGATCACACACAACATTTGATGGAAAAACATACAGTTTCAGCAAGAACTGCTCTTACTACCTGGTCAAAGAGATTATTACTAAATACAACCTGACTATCATAGTAAACTACAATGACTGTGATTCTTCAGACACATTCTGCTCCCAGGCCCTCATTGTCATATACAAATCCTACATGATAGTTCTGACTCAGTTGATGATTTCGGGAAAAGCAACTAATGTGGTAAGCAACAATTCAAAATGTTAATGACATTTGTTTTAATGTCAGTGTCTCACTTCATTAATTATCTTAATCTGTTAATCAAAGTTGTGTGATGCATGGTATAGTTGGAGTTAGAAATGCTCCGCTGCTTGGTTCAGTGTTCTCTAATGTGTCCTTGTCCTACAGGTATATGTGAATCAAAAACAGATCTATCCCGCCTACAGCAATTCTGACCTGCGCCTCACCAGCACAGATATGTTGATCAGATTGGAGATACCAGAGATCAGTACTACAGTGGTCTATAGGGGCACCTCATTCAGCATTGACCTTCCTAACTCCCTCTTTGGTGGGAACACTGAGGGACAGTGTGGTGAGTTACCAGACCACTTAACCCCTGATCCTTACCTTAACCCTATTCAGTGACCCTTAGTAGACCCAATCATGGGGTGAAAGAAGCATTTCCAATCCAGTAATACTGTCACTGCCAGCCTGCAGTGAGGATAGACACATTTACTTGTACAAGTTTTCCAAGTTTGATTAATCAACCTTTCCTTAACTGCATTTGTTGTAAATTGCTTGTTTCAGACCAGTGAGTGCAACCAGTTCAATGTGAGATTTCAGTATAATCAACTCCACTAAAAAATTGCAGGGAAAAAATAGCTGGTGCACCTGTGGAGCGTGGCTGTACGTGTAACCAGGCAATCAAATATGATTCACGGAATAAAAATGGATTCAAGCAGACGGCAAGCTCTAGATGAACTCTCAACCTCATTTCAAAGAGGTGGATAAACGGAGTTAACTTGGGTTTAATCCCCACTACACCCCTGCTCCGTAGCTCTCACAGCTAACTAGCTAGCCTAACCTATTTACCAGCATCCAATTTTTCTTCCCAGAGAGGCACAGTAATGACCTGCCCTACTCTGCCTCTGATTGGAATTAGAATTAGAATATACTTTATTGTCCCCTA